CGGGGCCTGGGAGAGCGCACAGAGACAAGTGGTGTACCGGGCGGGAGAGCGCACAGAGACAAGTGGTGTACCGGGCGGGAGAGCGCACAGAGACATATGGAGCACCTCGACAGGCCGCTGGACAACCTCGTGGGATTTAGTAGTAATGCTGTACCGCATGCAGTGGTGTGGGGGTTGCCTACTCCCTCCGGAGCCGTAACGCGGCGCGCTCCAGCTCCACTCCTACTTGCGGTACGATTTAACTGCTAAATTCCACTCGATTCCTTAGCCTCCTCAGCAATAAGGCCAAGTCGTCAAAGCGTTGTCGAGCCTAACTCTGTTCCCTACACTTACCTTTTTGGGCATCGTCCGCCTGCAGGTTGGAAACGACTTGACCAGTAGCACGAGACAGCTTTAGCCTTAGCTGGTTTATTCTCCCCACTGCTCTGCGGAACTTATCTTCATCGACGGGCGGGCCGAGGAACAGTGGTTTTTTGAGAGAAGATATGTTCTCGGGGCTCGTCAGCATACGGAATCCATGGCACTTTGTCCCATATCTTTCCATGTTTTTATGTACACTCATGCTCAAATCAGGGATATGTTTTTCCCCACTAGGTGGCGTTCTTTTCGCAAGGGACATGTTTTTTAATATTTCATCACAGGTCAAGGTGATGAACATAGAGCCTAGAAAACACGATTTGAATTAACTTGCACAGCAATTGAACATTGAACATTTTCTCTGTGACAGAAATAGAGGTGTACAGGGTGGGCGTTCTATGCCGGACTTTTATCTGGTTATATATACTTCACACTGCGAGCAGGCGGCAGGCGGCCGTGTGGGCTTGTCTACCGACTCGCACCACGCCACCCAACGGCCCCGTGCCAGTATGCAACGCGTCCGCACGCCTCTATGCAGTACGATATAACTAGAAAAAGTCCGGCGTAGGGCACCCATACTGCATACAGTGGGACATACCAATGTCAGGATGACGATACGCAACTCTTTCCTCCATACACGACCACATAATTATAGTATCGGCCATGGGATCTGCAATAACACTGTCAGGGGAAAAATCTTCGCCCTCTATCCTTATTTCTGTACTACCATCTTTCAATACAACAACTGAAAAAGAGGAGGAAACAGACAAATATAAACCCTCATAGCTTACGTGTCGGAAGAGTTGCCTATCGCCTGGGCGGCGCGCGGCGGGAGCCTGCTGAGGAGAGCGTCGCGGTCGCACCCGCAGCAATGACTTTTAGCTTACAAATCATAGCCTCCAGATAGCAAGATAACTTTATACTTACGGTGTTCCGGCCCCCGGCATGCCTGAACTATGATTATTTTAGGCCTTCCATGTAGCGTCCTGTGGCGTTGCAGCGTCCGTCTGATCTCGAACCTGGACATGTGTGTACCATCAGCGAAGTATAAGAGGTCTGCGTGTAAACAAATAGATCAATCTAGTTGAATCCTATAACTTTAAATTTAAAAAGCAGGCTTATAGCTTCGGAAACAAACCTCCAGAATCTCCATGACTCAAAAACGCCAGGACAAAGGGGCCCACACCGTCACCAATCAAATCTACAGCATTCTCCAGGTGCCCTTCGAAGGCATCCTTATTGCAGTCGTTTGCTATGTGTACTCCATAGCCCAACGACCGAAATACAAGTTCAAGACTGTCTCGATCCTTGCTTGTACCAGGCTCCCGGCATTTGAGGTCCTATCAAAGGCAATAATGTTACTATGACGGGACTAGCGATATGGACTTGGAGATAACACCGTGCTCACGGTATTCCCTTGACTGAACAGACAACTTAGTAAGTCGTGATTTCACAAAGCGGAAGTCGGGGCTCTAAAAACAGAACAGGTTGAAACATCAAGAATAACAGAATTAATCTTAGCAAATCAATCCCGGAATGAATAATAACTCGAGATGTATGTAGGTACTTTTGAAGTTTGCCTTCAGGGCGACGCGA